ATGGAGATTATGTAAGTGTTGATTTATTTTTAATTAAAACTAAAACTGTTGAATTAAGTTCTGGTGTATCTAAGCACTGAGGCCTGTAAATTGCATTTATTTTTATAATACCAGTGTTTAAGTAACTTGGAAATATATTTTTGATATTTGAAATCATTTGGATGAGTGAGGGAAAGTGAATTTATAAAAGTTACAGATAATTGTATTAATTTATACTCTTCTAATGAGCCAAGAACTTAATAGGTGCATTGCCTACATTTGTAAATGCATTTGGATCAGCTCAATTTAATTACTAACTAAATTATGGTAATTTGGGAGAATTCAAAATTACACTGTGGGTGTGGCATTGGTCCAATGTCTCATGGTATGCTTTTTTTGTGGATTCCTTTTTCCCAAAAAACGTTTATTCCACTGTTCCTATTTATATCTGAAGAAGTTGGTATGGGAGATGCCAACACAAGAATCTTGGATTCCAGAAAGTGTATTCATTAAATGTTTTTGCAGTTGTAGCCAACAATCAATGAAGGGCATCGCAAGGGCAACCATAGGAGCTTTGAAGTGAGAAAAGCTACTTTGTGAAAATGTTGAAAACTTGGTTTGATACCAAGCATTGAATAGGTAGGTCCGTTTGAGATGGGCTTACTGGTTGTTTTGCATTTTTCTTGTAACATAAGTAATGGATGTCTTTTTATTTTTAAATGTTTTAGGTAGAAACTTGACTAAAAAGCATTCTAGAGGAGAACCTTCTCGAGAGGAGAATCATTCTTCTTTTCCAGCCTCCCCTGTTGAGGTCAACATTTAGACTTGGGGGGAAAGTTTCCAAGTACTTTTAATTTATTTGGTACATGGATATGGGACGGAGGCAGAGAAGAGTTTACATACAAGTAGCAGATGACTACAATTACTATGCAGGAAAGATCTTAGAATGCGGTTCACGAGATTTTTATTTTTTATTTCATTATTTTTATTTATGTGTATGAGTATATTGCCTACATGTATGTGAGTGCACCCATGTCGTGCAATGTCGTGGAGGTCAGAAGAGAGCTTAGGATTCCCCTGGAACTGGAGTTAAAGATGGTTCATAGCTGCCATGTGGGTGCTGGGAATCGAACCTGGGTCCTCTGCAAGAGCAGTCAGTGCTCTTAACCACTGAGCCATCTCACCAGCCCCAAGATTTTTTAAATTTGTCATTAACTTATACATATATTACTTCCAAGTCTAAAAGGTACAGTTTTCTTTTCTGTCATCCCCCAAACTGATAAAGATGGCATTTGGTTTGTACTGAGCTACTTGTGTCTTGTTTGAGCGTGAAGTTTTGCATGCACAAGTTTATGCTTGCTTTTCTACTCCTGAACCGTGAACATACTACATTCCTACAGATAGGGCAAACACCATTCTTTTGAACAAGTTTGTATACAGCTGTATACATGTGTGAGATCATTTAACCCTCTTCTGGTGATGAGTTCTTCCAGCTTTATGCTGGAGAATATGCCAGTGAAGATCTCTGTGCATACTTGCAAGTATACTAAAATTCAAAGTGAATTGAGTAGAAGTGGAATTGCTACATGAAAGAATACTCCTCTTCAAAGTTCAGAGTCTCACATTGTTCCTCAAAGGGCCCATGGGCAGAGCACCAGAGGTGTCTGCTGTCCTGTACATCAGACACACTGATCTTTGCCAACATAATGGATGAAAATCAGTCACTGAAGTTTTAGTTTGCACATCCCCTGTGTAAGGTTGAATAGACTTTGTTCCTGAGTCATTCCTCAAGTTCTTTGCCCCTGCTCCATTGGGTTCTGTTATTTAGGATTTCTTTTTTATTCAGGAAATGAATTCTTTGCCTAATGTTACAAATATTTTCCTGGACCTTTGCCACTTCCAACCACTCGCTGCTTTCCTCCCCTCTGCTCCAGCAATAGCTCACCTTGTCTTTCTGTTTGATGTGTCTCCTGCCCATGATGAACTCTTTTGCGGCCTTCCTGTCTGCCCCATTTGATGGACAGCCTTCCTTCTGTCTTTATATTTGCTTCCTTCCACCACAGCCACACACCACCTTGGGTTGGTGTCCTATATTGTTATTTTGTGTGTATTAGTATAATGCCTCGTGTATAAGTGCACCCATGTTGTGCGGTGCCTGCAAAAGTCAGAAGAGGGCGTTGGATCCCCTGGAACTGGAGTAACCTACGGTTGTTAGCCATCATGTGGGTTCTGGGAATCGAACTTAGGTCTTCTGTAATAGCAGCCTGTGCTCTTAACTGCTGAGCCATCTCTCCAGCCCCTAGAAATGCCTTTTGAGTGTGTTGTGCCATGTAGACATTTTTATTTTCCTGTAGTCAAATCTGTCAATGTTTGTGACTTTGGTTTTGTGTAAATTAGAGGAGATTGCCTACTCTGTGAACAAGTAAATTCTGGGTTTTCCCCCAGGAACTCTTGGAAGAATCATGGCTTCCAGATTCTGTGTGGTCCCAGACGGTCCTTTTGCTGTGTTGAGAACACATACTATAGCAGTAGTCTCGGCTCTAACCCTACATAACCTTTTTAGAAAAGGAGTTACTTTAAAAAAAATTTTTATTTATTATTTCTATTTTATGTGTATGTGTGTGTTGCCTGCATGTAGGTAAGTGCACCCGTGTTGTGCAGTGCCCACGGAGGTCAGAGAGGCTGTTGGATCCCCTGGAACTGGAGTTATGGACAGTTGTTAGCTGCCATGTGGGTGCTGGGATATGAACCCAGGTCTTCTGCAAGAACAACCAGTGTTCTTAACCGCTGAGCCATCTCTCCAGCCCCAGGAGTTACTTTTTTTAAAGGCACGAGTCAGATCAGAAGCCTTCCCTACAGTCATTCTCTTCTGGAACACTATTTGGGTTCTTTCTGGAGAATTTCTTAAAATTGTTACTTGCATTTCATTTGCTGAGCCTGGGAGGTGTAACAGGTGGCAGACAGCATAAAACAAGTCAGCCAGTGTGCCTATCAGAAATCCACATCACCAAACTGCGAATCGTCTGTGTCTCAAAACAAGACTCAGACCGTACCTTCCTGAACACCTTTCAGTCTGTTCGGGCACAAGTACACTGGTCATAAAAGGGGCCACAAAGAACCACTGAGTATACAGTGAGCATAGAGAAAAGAGGACCCAACTGACTCAAATCTGGCTTGAAGGCAAATGCCAGCCATAATAGACATTAGGTGTGTATCACAGAGTGTGCTTGCTGTCCATAACTAAGGCATGCCATGGTAGAGTGATCTAAACAGCTGAGGACTTTTAAAGATTTTCTTTTATCTTTCCTCTGACAAGTGCTCTTCTGTGGCAAGCAGGCTCTGGGGTTGAGCACTCCTCTGCCTCCTTTGATCTCAGGGTCAGGCTTGCCATTTCCAGCTGAGCAAATGCACAGTCCTGAACTTGCATGTTGGACTCTGGCTTGAGAGGCTCCTGTTGCCTCCTGGACCTTTGCCACTTGCAACCACTCGCTGCTTTCCTCCCCTCCGCTCCAGCAATAGCTCACCTTGTCTTTCTGTTTGATGTGTCTCCTGCCCATGATGAACTCTTTTGCGGCCTTCCTGTCTGCCCCATTTGAGGGACAGCCTTCCTTCTGTCTTTATATTTGCTTCCTTCCACCACAGCCACACACCACCTTGGGTTGGTGTCCTATATCGTTACCCACCTTTGTGATGGGAAGCAGTTGAGTTCCTCTCCATGTGCCTAGCAGTACCCTGGCACTGAGGGACAGCCACAGAAACCCCCTGGCACTGAGGCAGACCAGAAATCCATGATGGAATCCCAGGGAGAATGCTCTGGTGTACATTAGAAGAGCAGTGGCTTCCAAACAATGAAACTGTGTCTGGATGAGCTTTGTCTACTTGAAGGGAGTTAGAGAGCAGAGGGTGGAAAAAGCATTCGTGGCAAAATTGGAGGACAGCACTGGGACTTTGTTTCAGCTTTTACATCTATCTAGATAACATTCAATCCACATGAGTCCACAGGCGCTTTTGGGTTCTAATGTATCAGTGTTTGGTTTTTATGTATTAGGATTTCTAGTCATCCATTGTGTTTCATTTTTGAAAGTGCAATATGATTAAACCTTACTAGGCTGAAGGTGTAGCTCGGTGGTAGGGTACTTGTGTAGCATGCGCAAGGTCATGGGTTCAGTCCCCAGCAACACACACACACGCACACACACACACAATTATTTTGGAACCTTTCTGGTTCTAGCATCTGAAGTGGTTTGTTTCTACTACTCTGTTTTACCTTTGGCGGCCTTAGGAGCTTCATTCTGTTTCGCAGAATGCCCTTGATGGTTCACATGCCTTGAAAGTGTTTGCTCAGAGCATCCTTGCTAAAGGAGAGTTCCACTACAAAGCTGACCTCTGGTTGACCAGAATTGTTATCCTACAGTAACTCCATCTGTCCCAGACGGAATAGTGTTTGTTGTAGAACGAACTGCTCCCATACACGAAAAGGACATTAGAGTTTGCTTTATTCTGATGTGAAGGATTGGACTTTGGCTTCTTGGTGAGGTTGTGGTCCAGAGTTGAGACTTAGTCTGTTTGTGCAGTACAGTGTGTGTGTGTGTGTGTTTTGTGTTTTGTGTGTTTTGTAGCACTTCCCATATAGGGAATATTATTTTAAGAATAATATTGTAGTTAGGTAACATGGTTCAGTAAGCTTGTCTGATTTTCTTCACACAAGACAGTCTGTTTCGCCCCTCCCCCACATGAAATAATTGAAACAGTAGCAGCAAAACCAAAGCCCCACACTAATCAGTTATAACGTTATCTGCACTCTGTCAAATGAAATTTGTGGGTTTGTCCTTGCTCTCTGTGGGTACTGCTCTTCCTGTATTTAACTTGGTTCAAGTTTGCCGCCACATGGAACAGCAGGCGCTGTTGACTGCTATTTTACAGGAGGTTGTTCAGAGATAAGTGATGTGTTTGAGCTTCCCCAGTTGCTCTGCCATGCCAGCATGAAGCCTAACTCTTGTCTCTCACCCCTCCCTTTGCAGCTCCCCCCAGCCAGATCATTCCCCAAGATGGCAGAGGAGAGCAGCAGTCCCAGGGACTGTGAGTCCTTCAGTGTGCTCAACTGGGATCAGGTTAGCCGGCTGCATGAGGTCCTGACAGAGGTCGTTCCTGTCCATGGACGAGGCAACTTTCCAACCTTGGAGATAACCCTGAAGGACATTGTCCAGACCGTCCGCAGCCGGCTGGAGGAGGCAGGCATCAGCGTGCAGGATGTCCGGCTGAATGGCTCTGCGGCCGGCCACGTTCTAGTCAAAGACAACGGCTTGGGTTGCAAAGACCTGGACCTGATCTTTCACGTGGCTCTTCCCACAGAGGCAGAATTTCAGCTGGTCAGAGATGTGGTTCTATGTTCCCTTCTGAACTTCCTACCAGAGGGTGTGAACAAGCTCAAAATCAGCCCTGTCACTCTGAAGGAGGCATATGTGCAGAAGCTTGTAAAGGTTTGCACGGACACAGACCGCTGGAGCCTGATCTCCCTCTCCAACAAGAACGGGAGGAACGTGGAGCTGAAGTTCGTCGACTCCATCCGGCGTCAGTTTGAGTTCAGCGTGGACTCTTTCCAGATCATCCTGGATTCTTTGCTTTTTTTCTATGACTGCTCCAGTAACCCCATCTCTGAGCACTTCCACCCCACAGTGATCGGGGAGAGCGTGTATGGGGACTTTGAGGAAGCCTTTGATCATCTGCAGAACAGACTGATCGCCACCAAGAACCCCGAGGAAATCCGAGGCGGTGGTCTTCTCAAGTACAGCAACCTGCTTGTGCGGGACTTCAGGCCTGCGGACCAGGAGGAGATCAAGACTCTGGAGCGGTACATGTGCTCGAGGTTTTTCATCGACTTCCCAGACATCCTGGAACAGCAAAGGAAGCTGGAGACCTACCTTCAAAACCACTTTGCTGAAGAAGAGAGGAGCAAGTACGATTACCTCATGATCCTACGCAGGGTAGTGAACGAGAGCACCGTGTGCCTCATGGGGCACGAGCGCAGGCAGACCCTGAACCTCATCTCTCTCCTGGCCTTGCGCGTGCTGGCAGAACAAAACATCATCCCCAGCGCCACCAACGTCACCTGTTACTACCAGCCAGCTCCTTATGTCAGCGATGGCAACTTCAACAACTACTACATCGCCCACCCTCCAGTTACCTACAGCCAGCCTTACCCTACCTGGCTGCCCTGTAACTAACCTTAAGACCTGAGGTTTCCACAGTGGGAACCCATTAGGGTGGGGGGCTCTCAGGTAGGAGAGCCTCTTCTTAGATGTAGGTGTTTGGCTTTTAAAGGGGAACTCAGCTCTGATTCTGCTTTTTTTTCTCTTTTTCCTTTTTGTGAACCCATTGGAATGGACTCTCATGAGCCAACCCTAAAAGGACCCATAATTACAGTGCCACTCTGGAAGATGAATAGGAAGTGTGACCTCGCTACATCTTTCCAAGATAGTCACTAACATGTCACTTTCCAGATGTTAGCACATGGGACTTGAGCTCTGCACAGTCTTTGACATTGGGAGAGTTGGGCAGCGTATGAAAAGTGTTAAGCTTTTTTCTCACCTGAGCCTAAAGTAGACTGTGCTGGCCCTCACTTGGACTTCTCAGCAGTTATGTGAAAGCTGTGCTAATAGTCTCTTACTGTCCCCCAAATTGGTAACCATGAGGGTGCTCTTGTAACTGAAGATTGTTCATGGGACTGAGCTATGTATGTCTAGTCCCTGTCAGCAGAGCTGAGAATTTCATTCATCAATAAACCAAAGCCAATAGCTGTAAACTTGAGATCTGGTTGGAAGTGGTTTATGGTTTAGATGCCGGGCTATATCAAGGAATCATGAGAGATTGTGGAGAAAAAAAAATGACCTTTTCTTGAAATGTAACTTGAAAACAGCAAAATAAAATGTGGAACATAATGTTAAAGTAGAATTGTGCTGGTGGTGGGGTGGTGATTGTAAATAGGAAACATGAATGTTCTTTTCTTCTTCTTTAAGGAATTCTTAGTGAATGACATGTTTTCTCTCATTGGTTCTCTCACAACTGACTCTCGTGTTGTTCTTCCTGAGAGTAAGGACTGTGTTGTGTCTGGAGTTACCATAACTGACATGAGAGGCTTCCCATGTTTTAATTGGAAGCCCATTTTGGTCAACGTTCCAAGTATGACAAGCTGTTTTGCTGAAGTTCTTTGGCCATTTTTCTTTTCCTTTTTTTTTTCTTTCAAAAATAGCAATTTCTTTCTCTAGGTATTTTTTTTACAGCAGATGAATTCAGGAATTTCAGGAGAAAAGAGTGATCTGCTTTAGAATCTCACTTCTTGACTCTGAGCTGCATGGAAGTAGGGTTTAGTGTTAAGTCTGGCCTTGTATGTGTTCAAGCTACCTGTGCACTTTGAAATCACTCTGGTGTGTTTGGGAAAGAATCCAGTAAGTGAAGAATAGACTTCATTCTGGTAGATTTGACCATTGTGTTTAATGTCCTGAACTTCAGAAGGAAAACAGTGTTAACAGCCTAAAGCAAGTAGCCAGTGGGAGAAGTCTGGGTTACTGCTGCTTTTCCTAGTAGATTTAGATAAGAGAAACTTTTGAAACTTTCTGAGGAATCTTTTAGAAAGCATTACATTAGGATATCAAGGGGAAAGACATTCAGTATTGCCAGCTAGCTTTCTTAAGTGATTTGATCAAATCTATGTTCCTAATTTATATTTTCCCCTGTGACCATAAAAAAGAATCCAAAGCCCTGGGTGATTGCTTTCTCTTCCCTTGAAGCATTCTAGTTATCTTAATGCAGAAATGCTTAGAGTAAAATGAGTGGTTGGTCTTTCTCTAAAGATGTGTTTTCAGATTTCTTCTGGAATGTGCTATATTGGTCCTCTTTTAAGATGTGATTGAAACATGTCTTGGGTGACATCCATGTCATGTTAGGTGACTAGAAGCCACTTAATATAGCTAGCTTCCACTTCCCTGTAAATTGTAGTTATATTTGAGTTCACTGGCTTTGAGTCAAGGCCAGTTCTTTGAGGGAACCTGGGCTGTTTCAGTGATAAAAGAAAGGTCATGAAAAGTGAGCCGAACTTTAAAAACTATCAAGTCATCCATGGCCTTAAAATGCTGCCATTATGGTCAAATGAGAACATGTTTGCACAAAATTGATTGGTTCAGCCCCAGCTGTTGAAGTATGACATTAGAACTTGCTCACAGAATCTGAAATCAGGTATGCTTCTCCTGAGTCTTGGGAATCAGTGAGGTACCCGAAAAACTGAGGTACCTGAAAAACTTCTAATTTGTCCTTGGAGTTCTTCCGGTTTTGCAGTCTGGCCATAAGTCCTCCTTTGAGGATAGGGAGAGGCGTGAGGTTGTAAACTACCATTGCCTTCCTGGTAGTTTAGTTTCTTCACCTGATCTTTTTAGTCTGCCCAGCTATTTTTGTGATTTGAGAAGTGTTATGTGTTCTAGAACCATCATGTAAAAAGTTGCATTGACCAAAGCTATACTATTTTTAAGACCTAACCCCTGGGTTAACAGTGTCTACCTGCTTTGTGAGCCTTTTGCCAGCCTTGGAAGAGGCCAGGTAACCTTGTGTTTCAGATGCCTGGAAATTTCTCTCTGAAACTTGATTTTTGTGCTCCTCACATAAACACCAGATGCCCCAGTGGTTCCTTTTTTCTTTTCTTTTCTTTTTTTTTTTGTGTGTGTCTGTGTGTGTGTGAACTTGGCAGTGGCAGAGGCCACTAAAGTTCGAATGTGAGCTCTTGCTTCAGAACTCTGAACTGCTTCCTAATGCCTGTTTTCCCAGTCTGCTTCTCACAGTCAAGTACAGTAGCAGGTGGGTGAAATCAGCACCTTTTCCCCTTGAGTAGACCAACAGTTGCACACTTGATTCTGTGCCTGAGCGTCCTTCTCACCCTTCAACCCTACCTTGGCAGGAAGTTGCCTCCTTCACATGATCATTTCAGTGCTGAAGCATAACTCTGCATCACTGTCACCTCTAAATCAAATCCATGATAACTGCCTGCGGGCTGTGTCATGGCCCACTCCTGGGGATCTGGCAGATGGGTCGAGTTGGGTAGGGAAGATGATGCTTGGTTCCTGATGTGTTTTTGGCACACCAGTGTTTTTGACAGCCCCCCCCCCATTCGACTTACACTGGGAATTTGTGTCAAAGTGAGTTAGCTGTGTGTGGACCTGTGTTTTGTGTGATGTGTTAATAATCACATTGCTGAAGCTGAGAATCTGCTTATCCTCTGGCTGACCTCTGGCACTAGCCCCTTTCTTCATGGTGGGTTAGGATTTTAGCTAGTAACTGCTTTAGCTTTGGGAAATGGTGCCACTCATAGATGACTTTCAGAGCAAGTCTCTTTTAGTGTACTTTCTGGTACTGGTGCCCTGTTTTAGGATGGTGCTAGTCTTAGCTAGTCTTAGCTTTCTTCTAGAGGCTGGATTAAATTATAGCTATCCAATCATGAGAAGTCCTGACACTGCCTGGACTTTACTTCCTGGGTATCCACCTGGGGCCCCATGCTAGGGGAAACTCTGGATGGTTCTGTAAATTGAAAGAACTTCCTGTTTTCAGGGTTGGATTTATATCCTTAGCCTGAGACAAGAATCTCACATCTCATTTTGGTATATATTCTGAGTCCACCAATTAAACTCAGAAGGTAAAGAAGAGAGGTGTTTAAGAAGACCATGGCAACTTCTCAGGATTATTTGTGGAGATCTCTTAAGGAAAGAAAATGACTCCTTTTTTTCTTTTGTGAATTTAAGTGCCTACATCTTCTTGTTTACCTATCACTTAAAAAATAGTTTAAGTGTAAGCTTCAAGAATTCTGGAGTTTTGCCTGGGCTATTGAGATTTGGTGCAAATTCTCATGTGTGTTTGCATAGGAAGGAAGGTGACATGACCATCCACTAAAGAGGAAGTAGCTAATTAACATGATTTGTGGGTTTAAAAAAATTCTGGCTACCTGGTCTTTTTGTGTTTGTGTGTTGAAAACTAAATTTTCCAAAAGCAGATATTTATTTCCACATTAATATGGATGAAAAGTAAAATACCAATTGGACTTAATTGGAAGCTCTTATTTCTGTATCTGCACAGCCTTGAAGTATCTCTCAGCAGTGCCTAGAGGTTTGGATTTCCTTTTTGGTACTGGTCACTCACCTTCTTCCTTGATGCAGATGAGATTTATTATCAATGCAAATGTATTGGAACTTGATAAAAATAAAGCTTTGAGTTTGAGAAATAAAGGTATATTTAAAAATGAAACACAAAACTTGTCAATTATGCTCATTGCTTTTATTTAT